AAATGAGCTCTATGAGCTCTGAAAGCAGCTGTCTCTGGGAGCCAGGACCTCTCTCTACCCCGGGGAACATCAGCCATACACAGTCCACCGGCACCTCTTCCCATTCCTTCATGCATAACCTTGATGTGACCTTTGTGCTCGCATCTTGAGCAGCTCTCTGGATGCCAAAGGAGAAAGACCCTCCCACTGTGCATCCTGCAGTCTTTTGTCCAGGCTCTGCACCTCGCTTCCCACATGGGGTTCAGGATGTGAGCTGGACACATGAGGACTTTTAGTTCTGCCCACATCCTTCTTGCGGAAGCCCTGGGTGATCAATGAACCTCCCAGCTTAGAGTCTAAGATCGCTTGTCAGGTATGAAGGTCAAGTTCGTGTAGGTCTCCCCAGCCAGAAAATCTCCGACTTAGACCATCGGGGTGCAAACACTCCCGGACCGTGGACTTGAACTATCCGTGCCTAAGCTTCCCCATCTATAAGATGGAAGTGCAATCGCACTGCCACACAGTACAGAGTTAAGGACTTCTGCCCCACTCCTGTGGGTGCTGTCCCGCACCCATGGGTCCTGTCCCCCTCCTGTGGGTCCTGTCCGACTCCTATGAAGCTGTTCGATCTGTTATCCGACTTCCTTCTCCGTACCTGGGACCTCCCCGGCATGCACCTCCCCTCTTGCCTCATAGACGTGTCATGACAACAGACAGCCACAAAGATTTGAAAAAGCAACACTGAGCACAGCCAGCCTGGCCGCACCATATCTGCCAGCCAGGGTAAAGCCAGCTGCCGGGGACACCACTGTGGCTTTTACACCCCATCACCTTTTATGGTTACTGAAGTCATCCCGGGGTTACATTTTAGCCATCCGCATGAGAGGATGCACGCAGCAGAAGTGGGGTCTAGCTGCCAACTGTGCTTCTTTCTGTTTTGCTTTGTTTTATTTCATTATGGTAGAAAGCACGTACCTAAGAAAAAGAAAGAAGGAGGAGGCAGCGGAGGGGGGACGCACTTCATCTGTCACACCCTCCAGCCCCCCAGTACCTCAGGGACTGCACACACATTGGCACCTTCTCAAGCTGACCTGGGGATCCGAACCCACGGTCGGCCGTGTACCTTCCAATCTTGCAGGGCATTTGCGTTACCGCTGCACCACGAGGGCTGGGTCTTGTGCATCTTTATTTTGGGTTGAAAGCCATCGATTTTTCTGAGGTTCAGCTATTTTTCTCCTAGGCCCTGGGCCGTTAGCTGGCATTTTAATTTGCATGGCCTTATTACATTATGTATTTGTCAGGAGCGATTTCATTAAGTACCAGAATGTGGCCACACTGCACATTATCCAGACTAAAACCACCATCTCCGGGCTTCCTCACAGGCCGACAGCCCACTGAGTTCTTTATGACTTTGCAGCAAATTTAAATATAGCGAGAGCGTCATAAAACTTAAGTGGTCCACACACGCGCCTTCGGGCTTGTGACCTTGGGAGCGAGGGTGCACCGCCAGAGCAGGGCTTCCCAAACTTCAGTCCTCTGGGTGTCATCCTAGGCAGTGTGGGTTTGCTGCTGTGTCCCAGCCATCCAGGGCAAGGGTGTGTGCTCCTTGGTCTGCCTGTCGGGGTTTACATTACAGCCTGCTGTTGACAGCTGTGATTCTCAGCAGTGTGTACACTCGCCTCGTCTAAGTTTGCCCATCTGATGAATGGGGTAACAGTAGACCCCGCATACTGAACTTGGCGGAATTAAGCACATCGGAAAGCTAGTGGGGAGGTGTCTGGGATCCTCAGGCCAGGCGCAGGGAAGGTGGTTTGTGATGCTGTCTGCCATTGGACACAGTGACGTGGCTCGTGGCCGTCTGCCGAGACTTGTGGCCAAGTCTCCTGGGAGAGCGTGGTTTGTTGATTTCAGCTCACTCTGGTCCAATGACTGCTGCTCGTTCGATTCCGTAATGCCGGGACCAGCAGGTGGTGTAACGATTACATTGCTAGACTCCTACATAGTCCACCCCGGTTCAAGTCCCGGACCTGGCAACTTGAAACTCACACCAGGTGTGCATGTCTGTGCATGCCTGAGATCCCATGAGGAGGATGAAGGGGAGAGGATT